GAAACATTTGCTAGCAGGGGTCAGAGACCGGTGCTAGTGCTAGGGGTGGCTTCCATGTGGGGTACCGAAAACCTGTGAAATATGTCCCCCCTTAGCTTCCGGGTCTCAATGAAACATACACAGCAGCATTCTAATTAGTTCGACCTGTCAGTCTTTATATTAAGTGATGGAGTCAGACCTACATTCCTAAAGGTAGGCCTTCAGGTCACCAAGGCTGGCCCCAGGCCCATGAAGTCCCCAAAGTCATGTACCCCAGGGACATAAATCTCCCTCCCTGATGCAATATTCTCCACAAAAAAGCCTTTTCGGGGCCTTCCTGATGGCACAAGGGGTTAAGTCTCAGCACTATGAAACTTTCGGCAGCCACTGCAGCACGAGTTTGATCCCCGGCCAGGGAGCTACCCACATGGCACAGCAGACCTCTCCTGTCTCCCCACTGCTCCCCTCAGCAGTGTATTTCAGCAGATCCGCCTGTTCTGCTCCCCACTCTGTCTCTGGTGAGTCCTCTCACCCCCCCCCACCTCTGGCCTGTACCCCAAATCTTGTGTGCATAAATAAATAAAATAAATCTTTAAAAAAAAAAGCCTTTCATCCTTGGTATTTCTGTAGTAGACATTCATTAAGGCCATCGAATTGAACTCTACTGCCTCCCCATGGCCACAGGGTAAACCTCAGGTTTCTAAGTAAAATAAATCTCAGCATCTGGCCCCTGTCACCCCACCCGCCCTTGTTTCCTAACTGCTATCACTTAAAAAGAATTTCCCTGTGTCTCCCCGGTGGCGCAGTGGTTGAGCGCTGGGTTGCGAAGCTGCCCACGGCCTCTGTGGCGCCGGTTCAATCCCCGGCTGCTCCCCGGCCTCCGGAGGAGGGTCCCACATGGCGTGCTGGTCCTTCTGCCTGCTCTGCTCCCCGCTCTGGCTCTGGTGAATTCTCTCACCCTCCCGCGCTTCTGACTGTACCCAGTGCTTGTATAAATAAATACATACATACATACATCTTAAAAAAAAAAAAAAGAATTTCCTATGTTTCACCTGGTGAAATACATTATCTTACACAGTAAGCACACATATTTAATATCTTAAGTATTAAATATAGAGGCCGTTATGCATATACTCTGTGATATACTTTCATCTGTTTATATACAAATATACTTTAACTGACATAGACTCACACTACAGATGTTCTCTGTAAGTTACTTTTGCATACTCAACAATGACATGAATATTTCTCCAGCCTACAGAGGTTTATTTACACATTTATAGGACCATTATAAATAATTCCCTGGCACAACGTTGTAGGATGGACATTATGGGGGCTTGATGGACATTATGAGGGCTTCCAGCTGTTCAATATTGCAATCTACACAGGGAGGAATCAATTTACACATATTTACTTAGATTATCTTCCTAGGTTAAATCCTTAAAAGTGATGCCTGTAGGGCCTCCCTGGTGGCACAAGGGGTTAAGACGCAACCTATGAAGCTATCTGCAGTCGCTGCAGCACGAGTTCGATCGCCGGCCAGGGAGCAACCCACGTGGCACAGCAGACCTCTCCTGACTCGCCCACTGCTCCCCTCAGCAGTGTATTTCAGCAGATCTGTGTGTTCTGCTCCCCGCTCTGTCTCTGGTGAGTCCTCTTATCCCCTGCACCTCTGGCCTGTACCCCAGTTCTTGTATGCATAAATAAATAAATCTTTTTTAAAAATGTTTTTTTAAAAAAAAACTTTGGGGCATGGCACCCATCAGCCTCCTAGCGACGCTGTGCTGACTCATGCCCCAGCCTCAGGTCAGCATGCTCATTTTCACCCCCTTGTCCACGGGAGTCCCTCCTCTCTCGCAGGACATGGGTTCTCAAGGCAGTTTCAGCCCTAAGGCTGAGGTCTCTGTTCATAGGTTGTATGGAGTGAAGCTGGCAATTTGTATCCTGAGCAGGACCAGCAGCATTTCATGCTTTCCCAGTGCACCACTGCCGCCGAGGGCTCATGGTGATATAGTCCTTTCCTGAGACGTCAGGACAGAGGGGATCCTGGAATCATTCAGGCCTCCTGAGCTCTGCCCCACAGGACCTGAGAGAGTGGCACCTCCGTGTCCAGGACAAGCCCGGGGCAGAATACCTGGCCCTGGGTCCTCTGCCCTCTAAGCGTTCTCGGGGTCACCAGGCCCTGTCACTGGCTCTCAGGGCGGGGGGGGGGGGGTGGTGCGATGAAGCGCCACCAGCAAGGACGCCACCAGTGTTTTCCAGCTGGGCTTGACTAGCATATGTGGACAGCACCTGGCACTCGACAAAGCGTGCTGAGCTGACACTGCCTGGAACAGAGGCCGAGTGTGGCGTTCACTTTCAGGCTAGAAGAGTCCAACTTTTCAGGGCTGCACCCGGTCATCCCCTGACCACAGCAGGAATGGGGCCTCTCACCAGAGCCTGGTGGCAGGAGTTCCCTGGAGGCCCTTTTGGAGACAGGGGACAAGGCAGTGGAGGGCAAGAAGACAACTAGCAGTTTAGTTGCCTTCATTTCACCACCAGCCCGGCCAGGGTCCAGCAGAAGGCGGGGTGATGGAGGCAGAGCCTGGGGCGGCAGCTGCCAGGGCAAAGAGGAAGGGTGTGAAGCCAGCGGCCAGGCCCAGCATCTTCTGTCCAGATTCTGATGCTTCCAAAGACAGCAGCCCTTCCTGATGAGCAGGGGCCCCGCTGGGGTTAGAACCAGCGCACCCCTGGGGAGCAGGAGGAATTAATATCAAAGGCAGAGGAAGGGCTCAAAGCGAACAGGGTGAGGCCTCAGAGGAAATTCAAGAGTCCATTCTCAGGGCAGGGATGTCCCAAATCAAAAGTGGCTTTCGATGCTCCTATTAGTATTTGGAGACGTAAGGAGAACGAAGGGGCTGAGGAGGAAAAAAATAACCCGCAAACCAACTGAAAACAGCTCGAGGGACCCAGATGTGTGATGAACAGAACGTCTGGCAGAGACAGGCCACTTAAAATAAGCCACACAAAAGTAGTTTTGTTTGCCAAATAAGTGTTCTTCCAGATTATGGACGTCACCATTTCAGTTCCAAGAAAATTCTGTCAGAAACATGTCTCATAGCAATTGTTCAAGTCTTGGAGGGAGGTGGGCAGACAGAAAGGGGAAGTATGTCCCCTGGCCCCAGGGGAAGTCCCGGAAAGCTCCATCCCCAAGGCCCAGTCAAGACTCCTTCCCTGATAAGATCCAAGCTCCTTTAGGCAGAGGCCGGAACCACAGACTCCCATAAGCAAACTCCTTCAAAGCTGAGGGCGGGGTCTGCCTGAGAGGAAAGGAAGGCAGCCCTGTCCCTGCAGGTTGCCCAGGGAGGAGACACATTATAATTCACTAGCCACACCCTGGCCGCCCCTTCAGAGTAATAGTGCATTCCTGACCCAGGGTGCTGGGGCGGTGAGGTTAAGGCACACCTTGTTCAGCCATGGAATGACCACCTGCCACCCCAAGGTGGCACAACCCCGAGCTGATGTGCCTACGTTGCATTTCCCTCATGGTGGCCTCTTCCTGCCATTTAATTTGAGCTCTGACGTTTTGAACCCTCTTTGCTGGCAAAAGGTGTGCAAGCTAGTCCTGCCGAGAACCAGGAAAACATCACAGATGTTTAAGTATGTCGCTGAGGGTTGAGGGGCTTTCGTGGAAAATGGCCCAGGAGACAGATGGTGCCCAGAGAGCAGCTAGGGATTTTGACTTGACAAAGGAGACATAAACATCCTTGAGGCCAGCAGGCTGGGCAATTGGTGAGAATTGTCACTTGGAAGACATCAAAGTGATGTCGTGACTTCGGGACAAATGCAGAGCCAGCTTCCTGCTAATGGTCTTCGTCCACAACGCAGATGAATAGGGTGCCCGACTCAGTGGATCTGCTGTCAGTGGATCTGCTGCAGGCGCTGCACCCAGGACGGTGGCCCCTTGGGGTACTCCCCTCACCCTACCCTTGATTCTTGGCGTGGGGCTACTTTTCCAGCCTTAGGGAGGAAGCAAACCTATTCAAAGTCACTGCCTCACAACCAAAGCCACAAGAGTCTGGCTCCACTATTTTATATACAAACTGGGGCTAACAAGGTTGAGTGACCTGGTTAAGATCACGGTTAAGGCAAAGGCAGGACTAGGACCCTGACCCCCAGATTCCCAAGTCAATGCACTTTCTCATGGGTCATGCCCTTGAGTTTCTCGAGTCCCCAGGCCCCAGCTCGCCAGCGAAGCTGGTGCCTGCAAGTGGGGCATCAGCTCTGTCCAGGTGGCTTAAAGGAGCCTTGTGACGAGGGGGAAGCCAGGTGTGGAGCCAGTGAGCCTCACAACAGCCCTTCTGACTAGCGAGGGACAAGCCAGCTCTAGCAGGTCGGAGCCAGTTTAGTCTCCACACACCTCCAGCCTCCAGGCTGCTCACCCTCATATATCACCTGCATTTGCTCATTTTTGAGTCTTCCTGTGCACCTGCTGGACACCAGGTCTTGTGCCAAGGTCACAGGTGAGGGAGACGGTTCCGAGTCCCGGCTCTCGTGGAGCACACAGGCCAGAGGAACATTTACTAAGCGATCTCACTAACCAATGCACAATTGCAAATGAAACCAGTACCCAGTTCAAGGGGCCTGACAGAGAAGCGCTGCTGGGGGAGGGCTCCATGGCTGAGGGGGCCTGGGCTGAGGCCTGAAGAGGCGTTCAGAGACCTAAGAGACCACTGGGAGCCTGGCGGGGGTGACAAGGCCCATCCAAGGGGGCCCGGGGGACTTTTGCAAGGCGGGGGATTCAAGGGGTCCAGCTGGGGGAGCCCGGCCAGGCAGACCTCACGCACAGGAGAAAGGTCAGAAATCTGCTCTCTCCCCTCTTCCCAACACCAGAGGGGCGCAGGCACTTCTTATGAAACCCCAACCTTTCCAAAAGGGAGTAGTTACAGTTACAGAAGCTGCGAGACCCAGGGTGGCAGCTTGTTCCAGCCAGTGACCTGACCGAGACCAGCGGGGCACATACAGAGGGAGACCACAGCTCGTTTGCTCCAGCAGCATTTTTATTTACAAACAGCAATTTCCATTGACTTTATTTATACCATAAAAAAGCCATTTACAAGCAAGAAACAAGAATTCAGAACAAAATTAAGCAGCACTGAAATATTCATGTCACAAATCTAAAACAAAAATGAATACAAGAGTAAAATATCATTTGAATAAATAGTCTTAAATTCATGCTATAAAATAATCCTTAATGGCAAGTTACTAGTTGATACAGCATCCGCTTAGCTAGCTTCATTTACTTCATGTGGTGATGAAGTGTGGAGTTGTGAGGTTACCAGTTTATATTGCAAGAAAATGACACTGTGTTAAGTCATTCAAATTGCTCGACCATTTATAACGGAAAAAAAAAATGTTAGCCCTACTAATAAGTGGTGAGAGAGATGGTTTTCACATTAGGAAAAGGGTCATTCTCAGAGAAACCAGGTACGGCGACCTCTTACTATATAGTCAGGGCAGCAACCAAGGGCTTGGGCGGCAAGTCCGAAGGTTGAATTCACAGCATACTTGTCACTGAGGGGCAGCAAGAGGTCCGCTTACTGACTGCCCCGAGGCTGACTCCAGGACTGGGTCGAGCGCTAGGAAAGCCCCGCGGGTGCCAGACCCAGAGGGGAACCCGAGAAAGCAGGTTCTCCCCGGGCCCGGAAGTCAAGCACTGGGCAGAACAGTGGACACGCTCTGGCACTTACTGAAGAAGACGCACGTGACGGAAGGGCCGTTACAAACTCGGAACAATGTGAATGACTTCTGAACTTGGCGTTCAGTTGCACTGAGTAATATGAAATCTATGACTTATGAACTAGAGTTTCATATAAAGAATTTACATAATTCCCCAATACTTTCATATATAAAATTTAATAAATAACCCTGACCAGTCTAGAAGCACCATTCAAGGGGCATGCGCCCTCGGAAAATAGTTTAGGTGTTGCATATTTGAGTCCCTTTCAGTGGAGGCTTCACAGGAAACCGTTACAGAATTTACCAGTAACGACGACGACAACAAAATCACAGTTAACTAATAGAAAAAGTTGTTAAAATAAAATACACTGATTTCTTTAAAGTAAAGCTCATTCACATAGATGATTCCCCACCCCACCCCCGCCCCCAGCCCTTGGTTTGTGTTCCTGCAAGTTCTTCCTAGAGTCTAGGCCGTAAAAACAAAAAAACAAAAAAAGAAACAAAACCACGCACAAAAATATGCAGGCCTACGGTCTGGGCTAAGGGAAAAAAACAGAAGACTTGGTTATAACTGCTATCATTAGAAAAGACATTACTATGCTTCCTCCGGAAGATCTAAAAATCATCCATTTAGTTCTACAGTATATTCTGCTTAACAGTGAACCGACAGTATCCTTTCCGCTGCTAAAGAAAAAAGAAAAAAAAAAAAAAAAAAAAAAAACACCAAAACTGCCAAGGCTGAGCCTACTGGAAGGCTTGCCACCGACTAAAATCTGAGCATGTTTTCATGTGCTGTGTTTACAGACATAATTTCTAGACGTATTTACAACTTTAGTAGAGGGTAGAGACCCGGTAAGAATGAAAATAACTGCTTAAAACCACAAACATTAGGAAAAGTATAAAAATTCTTTGTTTTCACAGTTTGTAATAACAGGTTAGACACCTATAGAAAAGGACGCTGTCACTGTCTTCACATTGTCTACGTATTGAAAAGGTAGCTCAAGAAGAGACTCAATTATGAACAAGCCTATATGAATTCAGGATATATTTGACTGTAAAAGATTCTTCACATATCACCTTTTTCTTAATTGATTTTTGCATTTGTAACAAATTAAACGTCTAACCTAAAACTGTACAGAAATAGGGACTTTGCTTTCCAAAGAGTTGCTCTAAGGAGTTACACAGCGTGCTTCGTCTGCAGAGACGTGAGTGACTTTCGGGGGAGAACGTTTCTGTTCTGTGGTCATGTTAATCCTCCTGGCACATCCTCATGTGACAAGGCACAATTAATTGCTGCTGCCCGATCTGAATGGAGTTAATCTTTCGCCCGCCACGCACACTGAGAAGCGCGGCGGGGCGCACGCTCAGGGAGGCCACTCAGCTCCACGCCGGCCTCCGCGCCCCTCCCTGTCAGCCCCGCGGAACCTTACAGTACTGTGTTATGGCTTGAGAATTCATTCTTAACACTGCTAGCAGTGGAAAGGGTAAAGTGTTAGCGACATGAATGGGAGCAAGTAGAACTTGCCAAACGTGGAATCATGATTATTAGAAACGCAATCAATTTTCTGCCCCTTAACAGTCCCATTACAATGTTTGAACCTGAACTGTACAATCAAAGCAATGTATATTTTTGTCAAAGACAATTTTGGATAAGTCACTCTTTGGTAAACTCAAACCAGTCAAACAAATTTACAAATACAAAGAACTCTGTGTAAATAAGATTAAGACTGACACGGTGACAAGAACCAGGACGTCCGAGGTGCTGCTGCCCCAGGGGCTCCCCCCTCCTGACATGTCTTGTGTCTCACGGAACGCTCTGGAGGTCTCTCAGGAGGCCTCAAGCCTGAGTGAAAAGGAGGTTCCTCCCTGAGCCTGACCTCTTAGTCCTTGACTCGGGCATTTCATGTCACCAACTTAATTTGTATCACAACACAAATTTTTTGCATTCTTAAAAAAAAAAGTCAAAACCAAATGATTTCATGTAAGGAAAAAAAAAATCACAAACATTTACCTGAAACCCCAGAACATATTTAAGTGGGTAAACACCTGGGGTCCAGCCTCCCCCTGAGGCACGCGGCTTTGACAGGAGTTGAACAAGTGCTTCAGAGAGAGACCAAGCCCCTTACTTAGGCAGTCTGACAGGAAAAGGCATACTATATACCCGATTTAGCAAAAGCTACTCCTCAGGAGCAGCAGGATTAGCGTGATCTGTACGTCGTAACACTGACGTGTGGCACAGCAGGTCACACAAGAGCAGGTCCTGTGTGCTAAAGAGATGCTGCTGCACAGCCACCCCTTGGGGGCTGCACACACAAGGGTCTGAATGACTTTTTACCCCCCCTAAAAAATAAAAAACAAAACAAAACCCCCAAACCCCAAAAATTAAAAAAAAAAACAAAACAAAAAACTACCATTCTTGGTATTTAAGAGCCAAGAAAGCATGGAAAACCAGCAAACATCTATCTTTTATATTCCGTTAACTCCTGGCCTCTGAAGTCAGTCATTTTGGTTGTTTTCCTTTAGGTGGTCTGTGAGCCAAGGTTCTCCAACAGAGGGAGACTGGCCCCCGGCTGCTAGCACCTGCTGACGGCAGGACCCCACCCCGGGCAGGGCAGACACACCCGACCCATCCAGGAGCGGCCCACGGGGGAGTCAAGGACAGAACTGAAGACGCTTCCTGAAGCACCAGTTATAAAACATGATCCAAACAGGCCCCAGGTATGTTTTCATACAGGGATGTGTTTGCCAGCACATGCTTTTGAGGTCTCTTTTCAAGCTATAAACTCAAGAGAGGAAAATAAGTTGTAATTCACTTATTACCATAAGATTTCACATTTTTTACATCTATACTGACCTAAAAAAGATACATAACATAAAAATAGCACCACGTGACCCAAAATATGGTGACACACAGAGATTTGGTGACACAGAGTATCTTAGAGGGCGTTTTTAACTGTTGGTTTCTTGAAGCAGGAAACACTGAGCGTGGGGGAGCCGCTGGGGCTCTCGTTAGCACACACGATACTAAGGAGATATATTGCTTGCAATTCCCATAGAGTATATCTTTACAAAAAGTACAAATTCCAAGTTCTGCAGTTTCCCTGGGAACTGCATGTAGAAAAAGTTGCTGTGCACCTGAACTGGCTGTTTGAAAAGAGAAAGAAAAAAAAAAAAAAAAAAAAACCACAACACTGCTCGGAGAATTTCGTAGCCAGAGCTACAAATCCCTTTCCTTTAGTGCGAGTACTAACTCCCGGTAGAGTGATTCGAGTCAGTTACCTGGTATGTATGTCTCTACAGTACGGAATGAAGGTAGATTCGTAGGCCAGTAAAAACATGGAAAACCACTGCTCCTTTGGGGTTGGCTAATATAACACGACAATATGTAAAAAGGTCAGCACCACGGGTCATCCAGCGTACCCACTGGACAACTAACAAAAATCCCAAATGGTTTCCGACTAGAGTTGAATGCATTTTATGGCATTTGGTTTATGTGTTTGTTATGAAGCAGAGCTATGAACACTGTGATTTGCTTTGCTTGCTTTTGGACACAATGATTAATATATATGAAAACCTATTAACATTCTTTCGTAAGGGAAATAAAGGGGCAAAACCCTAACGTATTAGGTAGGGACGAGACAGAGTCAAAAGCCCTGTTCACATTGTATTAAATTATATATTCCTCTTACATTCACCTCAACCAGAATAAAATCAAATTTGAGAATGTATATATACTATATATATAATAATCACTTTATTATATATATATATAAATTGTCTAACTACCCCCTAAAAGTAATTTTAAATTAGAAAAGGTTACCCATTTGCATCAGCTGACGGCCTCCTAGCCCCTCTCCACGGAAATGCACCAGCACCAGTGCACGCAATGAGAGAGTCTGCCTTTGGCAGAGCATGTGGGGTCGACCGGTTGGCATTAGCTAAATCACTGGCAGATTCTGGGTTAAGAGTTCAGCCAAAGAGGAATACTGTCAGCCTGTGTTTTCCCTGGATTCGTTGCCCTTCATGCTTTGAGCTCCTTGGGGAGGGAGGGCGGGGGAAAGGATAAACACAATGAAGTGTTCCTTCCAGAAACCTTAGAAAACTGCCAAGAGACCAAGAGATTTCCAGATGGTTGGGAAAACCAAAGACTACGACAAAGCAAATCACAAATATGCATTGATCAGTGTGCTTTGTTTGGGTGCACTCCTTTACCACCTTAGTCAGGAGCATCCGACACCGTGTGAATTTCCATGCGGGAATCCAGGGCCATCTCGGAGGCCGATGCATCATTTTCTAGTTTCTGTTCCACGTACACGTCTGTTCTCTCAGGGGACTCGATGCGACTCCTGACTTCGGCCACTCCGGGGTGGTTTTTCCGCAGGTGCTGGTTGAGGGTACCCTGGAAAGGAAAGCATTTCCCGCAGATCTCACAGCGGAACGGCTTATCGTCAGTGTGGCCCCGGATGTGGTACTCCAGTTGGTCCTTCCGTGTGTACTTCTTCCCACAGAACTTGCACACAAAGGGGGTGATGCCCATGTGGAGCCGCATGTGCCTATCAAGGCTGCCTTTCTGGTTGAAGGACTTGCCACAGTAAATACAGATCAACCTCTCGTTGTACGGGTACCAGTGGCCTCTCGCACTCCTCTCCCGGGGACTGCTCTCATACCCGGGGTTACTCATCATGGCCTCGCCGTCGGAACCCTGCACCAGGCCCTGCAGGTCACTGTGCAGGTGGACAGACAGAGCCCGCTTCTGGCGGGCGCGTCCTCCTCGGAAACAGCTCAGCATCGATCTGGACGGACTGGAATTACTCAAACTTCCAAAAGCCTCTGACATGCCTGCTGACTGCGAGGCTGCCTGGGAGTAGGAATAGGCGTGCTGGAGCACAGAGCCGTAGGAACCCACGTTGACGGCCACGACCTGCTCCCCATCCACCATCTCGGTGTGGTACCCATCGTCCCCCAGGGAGGAGCTGTCAGAACAGCTGGGCCGGTCGGACTTCTCCATCTTCACCTTCACCTCAGTGATCTGGCTCTCCCGCACTAACAGGTCCCCCTGCTCGTGGTCACCCTCTATCTGAATCTCATACTCAGAGACACTCCCGCTGCTCCCTCGGTCCGAGTGCCCTTCTTCCTGCAAGCGGCTGCGCAGCGCTTTGCTGGGCGTCGTCTCCATGCGGAGATCGGCGCTCGTGGTGGGCTGCCGTACCTGAGAGCAATACGGGGGGGAGATCTCCACAGGGTTGGCGAAGAAGCTGCTGTCTTTGACTCCATTCTGACTCTCGGGCGTCTCTTCAGCACCGACGGTAACAGAGTCAACATCTCCAACGCTGATTTTGGAGTGGATGCTCTCCAGGATCTGCGTGCACTTGTCAATGACACACTGCATCTGAAGAAAGCTGGCTGCAGTGAGGAAACTGACCACGTCCTTCAGCTGCAAGGACATTCTTCCAGTGTAACAAAATGAAAGCAACTGTTCAAACACATTGGGATTCTTAATCACTGATATTGACAAGCCACTCATGGTACTTAATGCTGAATGGTCCCGGAAGTAGGGGGAGCTGGCGGCAAGGACGGCTTTGTGGGCTCGGAATGGCTGACCCTGAATGTGGACAATGATGTCACATAGTTTCCCTTGCAGGCGGAGTTCGTTTAGCTGGCTCAGAACGGTGCTGCTGTACTCGGGCACATCAAACTGAATAAAACTGCTGCTGTCCATTTCTACTGACATGAAGCGTAATCTGCGGAGAGAGAGAGTTTCGTGATTTACCAGTGACTCCGTGCTACGCGCAAGGGCATAGACATAAGCTTGCCAAAAAGATTACCACCACCATCACCTCCTGCACCTCGTAGGGCTGCCTGAGCATTCTTCCTCTCACTTATTTTTCCGTCTTTGAACTTTGGGTGATTCATCTAGAATCAAGTAACCTCATTAGCCCAGTGTCATAACTGCCAACATTCATCTTGATCAAAATTCAAATGTCTGACATACACAGGGTCATTTTAGCTATAAGAATTTTCCTTTTAGGAAAAACATCTTTCTACTTCACATACGCTTGAGAAGCTGAAGCAGTCTGCTCACTGGATACAATGAATGCAGCTACACCCTTTTTAGTTCAGAATCTTGAGTCATCTCGATTTGCGTTTTTTCTCTATAGCTGTGCACACCTTTATATCCTTTGGGGTTGGTAGTTCACAGAGCAATGCTCCGCCCCTTTCAGGGGAGAGTTTTGGAGAGCGCTGGACGGGCCATGGTGCATGGTCCCCCACGAGCGCTCCCAAGGCGGCACACTTAGACAGCTGGCTGCCCCTTGCCTAGAATCCGCATCACAAGATCACTCAGAACCGTGGTCATGTATACCGCACAGGCTGCATAAACACAGCAAAATTAGATCTAGCAACTATGTTTTAATTTTTAAAACTCAATCAGTAGAAATATAAATACTCCTGAATAAGTATTAAAGCAGAGAAAATTAAAAAGAAAGAAAACTATTTAGGAAATAAGAAAACCCATATCAAATATGCAGCAAGAAGGAGCTATAAGTGAAGTTTCCTTATGTCTCCAACTCACTTGAGAATGCACCTAAGAAGAGACAGATACGTGACAGAGCAAACACAGCAAGACGGTACCAAGTACGGCAGCTACACACTGGGAATAAAGGTGTTCACTGTAAAATTCAACTTTTTTACGTCTGAAATTTTTCATAATGAAATGTTGGGGGCTTTGAAATAACAAATTTCAATAGGGAAAATCAGTGCCTTAAAAAATCTATCATTAATCAATAAAGAATAAAAACAAACAAAATTAGTCAACTTAAGAGGTTAGAAAAGGAACAGCAAGTGAAACCCAAAGAAAGCAAATGTGGACAACAGAGGAAAAAATTACATTTCAGGACAAGACAATGTACAGCTAAACCTAAGATTCTTGCAGGAAAGGCTCCATCAGTTAGTACAACTAGCTCTCGCCAGCATTTCATGTCAGGACCTGAGAACACTGTGCCGTGACTTATCCTAGCTTTATGACTGAAGGTCATTTGAAATCTGTACAGAATGGACATATTTTTAGAGTAACATAAATTGGCAGAGCTAAATAAAAAAGAAACAGAACTGCCAAGGCACAAATGATCTTCAGGTCTTCACAGTTCCAGACACATGTTAAAACATTTAAAGCATCATATGATATAAATCTGACACCAGAAGATGGCAAAGAGTATAAAGAAGGAGAATGACAACCATTCCTAAGTACACAGATTTTAAAGGTCTAAGGTAAATACTAGCAAATATAACTTATTACATGAATGGTCGCTTCACAAATACAAGGATGGCTCTGTGTTAGGAAACATACAAATATAATTCACAACATCAGTGCGTCAAAGGAGGAAAAACCATATGGCCAAATCAAAAGTATACCAAAAATGCATTTTAGAAAGTTAAAGGCCTTTTCAAAGTAAGGAGAAGTACTCAATAAGCTAGGAATAGAAAACGGTGTTCTTAATGAACAGTATCTACTGCAAACCAATGGCAACAATTATCCTTAAAATGGGAAACTTATATCTGAATTTCCCAAAACATATTTAGTAAAACACAAGCCTATAGCTAGCCTTAATATTACCACCTCCTTGGGATTAAGAAACACATTAGCATAATAATCCATCTGAAAAATCCTACAGACAAGAATTCTATTTAACTCAGCAGTTTGCAAACTCGTTTAACTGTGAAGCTCTTCTCTCACGGAACACATATTAATATTCCAGAGAATTAGTGTTCCCTGGCGCACACTGGAAAACACTTTACAAAAGCATGCTCATCAGTGCCTGGGAGGACATACAAAATTGTCTGCCCATTACTTTTCTCACTTAACACTGTCCTGGAAATTGCAGCCGAAACAACAAACAAAATTCAGACAGACAGTGATTCAGAAGAGACAAAATTATTGTTACATGCAAATATGGCTATTTATATAGAACACCCAAGAAAATCACTTGGAGGAAAAAAAAAAAAAGGTTGGAATCAGGATGTAATAAAGGGAGGGTTTAAAAAATTATTGTTCATAAAACGTTAGGAAGTTAGATACAATAATGACAGGTTACAACCACAGTAAAAACAGATACTATAAAATGCCCAGGGAAATAAACAAAAAATAGTCAGGATTTACAAGAAGAAAACTATAAGACTTTAACTTGAAAATACAATGTAGCCCAATGGAACTTTTTCTTAGAAATTACAAATTATTTTAAAATTCACCTATAAATTACTGTCCAATAGAAAAATACTGCAAGCCACATGTGTAATTTAATGTTTTCTAGCAGTTACTTTCAAAATAAAAATATAAATTATTAGTACATTTTATTTAACCCAATATATTTTAAAACATTTTAACACACATCGATAGTCAGGATTTATGAGACATTACTCATTCTTTTTTTTCCCCAAAGGTTTTGAATCAGATGTGTATCTCACATTTACAGCACATCTAAATTTGGGAATAACCACATTTCAACTGCTCAGTGGCTACATGTAGCCACACTGGGCAGTGCAGACACAGGAGAGTAAATGCTGAAGAAATATTAGGAAAACAAAAACCAGCCAAACATATACATGTCAGGACAGACGATTAAGCTCCAGTTCATTCATTCTGTGTCCCAAGTATCTTCCCTGTGCCAGGCGCCAGGGCTCCAGACAGCTACAATCATCTCCTCATGGACGGGGCCCACAGCCGCCTTCCGTGTTGGGACAGTGGTTAGAGACGCCACGTGAACAAAGGAAATTTCAACTGCGACCTACACACTCAGAGGAAAGCCACACAGATACAGCTGCGGCTGGGGCTGCTGTGGGGACATGCTGCTCTTTTCCAGGTGCAGGGGGTCACATGCCAGGGCCTGAGTGGAGGGAGGAGTGGAGTGTGGCAGCACAGCAGGGAGCAGGAGCAGCAGGCAGGGGCGGTCAAGGTGGGTAGGGAGAGGCCAGGCCAGGTGGCCATTTCCAGTCAGTGAACAAAGAAGAGTTCTTGGGATAGATGCTACTTGAGAAATACAAATAAACAACAAAGTCCACTCCCTTCTTCACGACACACCCAATGACTTCTAGAAAAGACATTTCTAAGGACAGACACCAGAACAAACTGAGATTTAACACAGAAGTTTTTATGCATCTAAAAAATGCTGTTTATTCAAAAAAAGACAAATTATGAAAAATACTTATATGTGGCAGAGAAGGATAAAATTCTTACAAGTCAAACAGCTGAAAAAATGGGCAAAGTATATGAACAAATACTTTTTTTTAAAAAAAGATTTATTTATTGATTTATTTATACAAGCACTGGGTACAGTCAGAAGCGCAGGAGGGTGAGAGAATTCACCAGAGCCAGAGCGGGGAACAGAACAGGCAGGCAGACTGAAATACACTGCTGAGGGGAGCAGCAGGCATGACAGGAGAGGTCTGTCATGCCATGTGGGACCCTCGCTGATGGCCGGGGATCAAACAGGTGGTGCTGCAGAGGCTTGGGCAGCTTTGCAGCCCAGCGCTCAACTGCTGCGCCACCAGGGGAGGCCCTGTGAACAAATACTTAAAAAGGAAAAATTAAAATAGCCTTAAATGCCTAACAACGTCATCAATAAACAAAAACTAACATGATGTAATTCTGTCCCAAATTGACAAAGACTAAAAATGCAACCCAGTTGGCAGTGTGAGAAGGAAAGGGTGTGTGCACACATGCATACAGAGATAAAATGAGTGCCTTAAAACGGGTATTTCTTTTGAATCAGCACTTTATTATCAAAAAATTCAATACAGGTACATTAATTTATCTGTAGTATACTCAACTACGCTAGGAAACAATGGAAACAGTCTAAATAGTAAGAGAACTGTTGAAGTCTGGTACACTCATATCCTGAAATACCATGTCATCAAAATGTTAAAGAAAAATACAGTTAGTCCACACAACACACGGGCGGAGCAGCCAGAAAGGCAGCTGGGCTCGGGGGGGCACACAGGAGAAAGACACAGAGGAGAGACACGAGGAGAAGGACCCACTTGCTTCTTGCCTTTGGACTTGCACCAGGGACTTGAGGACTGGGAAGGAGACACGTGGGAAGGCTGATGATGGCAGCTGTTATCTCGACTTGTGCTTTGTTTTTTTTTGTTTGTTTTTGAGATTTATTTATTTATTTATTTATTTATTTATTTATTTATTTATTTATTTATTTATACAAGCACTGGGTACAGTCAGAAGCGCGCGGGAGGGTGAGAGAATTCACCAGAGCCAGAGCGGGGAGCAGAACAGGCAGAAGGACCGAAGTACACTGCTGAGTGGAGCAGCGGGCGGCAGGAGAGGTCTGCGCACCATGTGGGACCGTCGCTGACGGCTGGGGATCGAACCGGCGCTGCAGAGGCTGCGGGCAGCTTCGCAACCCAGCGCTCAACCACTGCGCCACCAGGGGAAGCCCTCGATTTGTACATTGATTTTGCTTCTTTCATCCCAGAATAACCTGGCCCTTTTTGCCCCCATCCTGTGGTTCTCTACCAGAAGGTCCCTTAGAGTCGTGGCAAGTTTTTGGGCCTTAGTAGCCACGCTTCAGGCCGACCCTGTTTGGCTGGACATTCCCAGGAGACAATGAGTGACTTCGGGTCTTTTACTTGGAAACGATTACCCTTTATTCTTTCTCTTTCCCCACACTACTCACATTAAAGTTTCACACTAAGAGTTGTTTCGTCTTTGTGTGCATGGATGGCTGGACCCCAT